CTCATTTATTAGACGTTATTGTGATATGCCATCGTTTAGGGCTTCAAATGATATGCCGTAAAACAGTGCAATGTCATCTAATCCAAGCATTTTTAATTGATGGTATTTATTAAGGTTATATGTTTTTATTTTTTTTTATTTTAAGTTGATTAAGGTGCCCCAAGAAGTCCTCACGGTCTTATCACAGAGCACCGCGGAAGAGCATTTAATAGGAAGTTCAACTTACACATCTCCTGTGCTTCAGCCACTTGATGTAGGCGTATTTAACATAGTAAAAAGTAAATAGCGGTGTATCCTCTGAAAAAATTTCATTTAAAATGATTTAAAATTTTTATTACCAATCCAAACGCTAAAGAACTGATTTTTTTTACTGAATTTATGTACTTATGGCTGAGGGGATTTTTGAAGGCTTTTTTTTTTTTTAGTAAAAATCGAACAAAAATAAATAAATTTACTAAAAAAATAATAATATTTAAATTTAATAAAATAAATAAATTAAAAATAAAACAAATGAGTAACTGATTATTATACTGCTAGTAACTGTAAGTTAATATGTAATAGCTACTCTACGGTCTTCTATATGAGAAATTGACTATCCAAACTTTATTCATAGCGAAATTTGCAATAACATTGTTGTGGCACAGAGGTTTAGTGATATTGTACTCATTAGCAAATTGGTAAGCCGGTCTTGAGTCATTGTAGATGTTAGCGCTGTCTTGACTAGATAAAGCTTACTAAACAATCACTCTTCTTCAGTGATGGAAGAACGATGAAAAACAATAATTTAGAACTTTTGGTAGATCTTATTCAATAACTTCATTAAAGTGAGAATATTTTTTGGTCCAAAAAAGTTGGCACGCTTCAGAGCATTCAGATGACGAACCTGTCTAATAAGCTCCTTTTCATCCACATTTTTCACATTTATTTATGCCAAAGTTTCGCATTTCTGCTCCAGTCTAAGTGATTCAACTTCTTCACTCAACGTACTATCAGATTCTAAGAGTCATAGGAACAAAAACCTGCTCATCAAATTTCTGCAGCTTAAATTCTCTAATTTGCTGAATTAGAGAATTGAGAGCGGTATTAAATACGTTCATCTCAAACTGCTCTTCATTTTTATGGGAATGAACTTCATTCTTGGTTTTTTCCTGAAACGTCTTTCTCTTTTTTTTCTTCTTTTGAACCAAAGTCTGATTGATAACCATATATTGGTTGAAAGAAGGCAGTCAAATGTGCTTCATTAATGAGTTTAGGCCTTAAAAACCAAGATCCTTGAAAAAAGTCTTCAGAAGCTTCATCCTTAAAATGTCTCACTTCAATCAAATAAAATATTTTTTGATTGAAGTGAGACACGGACATTTGAACCAAAAGGTTGTCATAATGGTGAATTCAAATGACTGAATTCATTTTTGCTGAGATTTTACTTTATTCAATAATTCGTCAGTTAGATCAAGAACACGAAGCTTTTGTAAAGATATAAGTATTATATATATGTATGCGTATCTTCAAATATGTATGTATCTTACTCGTGGAGGTCCTTTGGCAGTGGTTTGAAGTTTTTGTTAGCGTAGGTGTAAATGCAACAACCTTTAGTAACTTGGTTTCACACACAATGACACCATCGAATAGCTCTTCTGCACAATTTTTCGAACAGTCTAGAAATGTATTTGAAAGTTCCTCAGTTCCTCAAACATATTTTTATTTTATTTAACAAATATGATTTTATTGATTGTATTCGACAAACAGGATTTGGTATTTATTTAGAAAAATATAAACATTACTGTTTGCATGAGTCAGCGGTTCGGAAAACACCACAACAAAAGAAAAATTATTTTTAAAAAAGTTCTTTACTAGTTAACTGTGGTTCTCTGTGAGCTGATTGTCTTTTTTGAGCATTCTTTATTTTTAAACAATAGGGTCATTCTACGCCAAGTGGTCCAGTGGTCCCCACTCGATTATCTTAAAGTTCGATAAAACTTTCTCAGTATGTAGTTAAACATGTTTCATGAAAGTTACCAAAGTTTCAGGTCAAAATGTATGTTTTTGGATTTTATGGTAAATTTTGTGAGGCTCATCCTAACTTCAGTATCAGTCAGTATCAGTCACTAAATGTCGTATTTCTGGGGTCTTATATTTTTGCGATGAAAGGGTAATACCTCTTAAAAACGTGAATTCTTAGTAAACCAAAGGTGCAGATTGCAAATTATTTATTACAACTTTCATAGCGTTACAAATTCAACAAGATAGCTTTTTATTGTTTTTTTGCACGGTCAGATCTCCAGAACAAAAAGTTTTTCTGTATTGATATTTTTTCTGAAGGTTTTACGTATTATGATATAGATAAAAGCATCAACTTTTAAAAAATGCTGAGTTATTCTGAAAACAATATGGTGAGAAAAGTGAAATAACCTAAAATAATGCGTAATTGAACACCTAAAACCTAATGAGGACAATTTTTTTTGTTTTTTTAATTGCATCAATCAAAAAAGCTTATTTTACACCTCTAGAAACAATAAAAATTATGCTGGAGAGATTTTTTTTATGGACAAAAAAAATTAGGTCAATATATAGATTTTTAAAATTTTACGTTTTTGTACTAAACATATATGTTTATCATACTGCATTAAAAACAAAGCTTGTTCAACCAAAAATCAAAATATTTCGATATTCAAAAAATGTATTTTTAATATTGCTATTTCAGAAAAATAAACAGATCAGCAAAATGTGAAGCACAATATCTGAAGTGGTGCATAACTTCAAATAAGTTAGTTTTTTGACAAAATTCAAATTTAAGATTTTTTTGTGACTTGATTCTATAATCATTTCATTTACAAAGGGCTGTCCATTAATTACATCAGCAATTTTTTAGCGATTTTTACCTCCCCCTTCCCGCTTGTCGAAAACTTTTCAAACTTTTTGAGACCCCTCCTCCCTATAAAGTTACGTAAACAATTAATAATCCCCCTCCTTAAGAAAAATAAAAAATGAAAAAAAACTAAATCATTTTAAATAGTAGTAATAGTAGTTTACAACTTCAAGAAAAAGTGTTTTAAAAAAAAAAATGTTTAGAAAAAAAATTTAATTCAACTTTTAACTTATGAACATTTTTCAAATATATACAACATTGGCCGGCGCGATGAGAGTGTGACATCTCCGCCCCCTTCCCCATCAATGAATTTTTCGTTCATTTAATTGGCAAATTTGACCCATTTTGACTAGTTAGAGGGCAAATGTAGACCCTTTCGAACAAGTTAGTCGGCAAACTTAGAGAATCAGTAGCCAAATGTCGCTAAGGCAGTCAATAAATTTTAAAAAACAAGGACGTTTTTTTTTTCAGTCGGCAAAAGTTGTAATGGCATAACCCTCCCCCCCCCTGTGATACCTACTCGCGCTGGCTCTGTATATACCTATTTCAAATTACAAAGATTTGCTCTGAACAAAAAAGTGCATAGAAGTAAAAATGATTGTTACATGCAATGTAGCAAACATTCTTGGTTTAAACTTCTTTCAGTGCATGAGAGAAGGTTAATAAATTAAATTCACACAACCTATTGAAGCACTGCAAGTCGATATTACATTTTTTTTTATAAGCATAACGCTTAAAAGCATATGGAGGCTCAGATTTGGAAAAAAAAAGCATATGTAAGCATATTCCTGAGCCTCGATAAAAAATTTAAAAGATTTAAATTTTATTTAATTAAAAATTTGAAATATATATATATATCTAAATTTAAACTAACAAAAACAGCAAAAATCGAAGTTTATGTTTTACGACTTTACGAAGTAATGAAGTAATTGTGTTGCAAAAACACAATTACTTCATTACTTTAAAGTTTAAGAGTCGCTCTGAAGTGTTTTATTTCTCTCTCTCTCTTTTTTTTTTGTGCGTAGCACACGTTTACTTCCAACAAAATGCTTGGTTAGACCAAAACGTTTGTAAGCACTGGTGTGATAAAACACTTCTTCCATTTGTTAAAGAACAACAGCTTGATAAACTTATTCTTTTGCTGGACAATTTAAAGAGACAAATGCAGGAGGATTTTAAAGATGCTGTGGCTGCTGCTAAAGGACTTCTCCGGTACGGTCTACTAAGTGCGACTGACCTATGGCAACCAGTTGACGTAGAATATGCTGCCACTCTGAAAAGACTTATTGTCATTGAACATCAAAAATGGCTTGACAGATATAATCATTTATATATATATATATATATATATATATATATATATATATATATATATATATATATATATATATATATATATATATATATATATATATATATATATATATATATATATATAGCAACACTGTGTATTCAAATGTCGACGTAGGAGGTAGCATCGCGACTGTTGCATACGTACAAAACGATTGGCCAACAGATAGCAAGTTTCAAGGCTGTCTTGAAGAAAATCATTTGGCTCAGCTTATAAATTTTCCAACATATCGCAGTACTTGTGAGAAACCTCCAAAAAATACTCTTGACTTGATCCTGACCAATAAACCAGACCAATTAATTAACATATAAGAAGCTAGTCCTCTAAACCACACAGCCAAAGATCAGGGACACTGTCTTACTGTCTTAGGGAAGTATAGCTCTCACCAACCTAAAAACAAAAGAACCCGAAACTGATTCCTCTAACCTCTACAAGAAACATCTGATCAGAAGCAAACCCGACTACAACTCAATCTCTACGCATATCGAAGCATTCGACTAGCATTCGGCTTTCAACGGCTTGAAAATTTCTGAAAAATATCAATTATACCAATTCAACGAAGCAACCTCATTACAAGTCCCGTGAACAACCGCTTCTTACACTAACAAACACAAAAAAATGAGTGACCAAAGATGTTGCAAATGCTGTCAAATTGAAAAGCGAACTCTGGAACAAATTTATCGCAGCAAGCCGAACAAAACAAGCCAATATCGAGTTGTAGTCGGGTTTGCTTCCGATCAGACGTTTCTTGTAGAGGATTTAGGGTTTGCGTCTACGTCCGGCTGGCATAATCTCTATGGAAACGCTTGCATCAAAATGACATTCACATATGCAACGAAATATTATGTTTAAGACTATTTGACCAAATATATCATTAATATCATGGCTGAAGTTTTCAAAACTGTACCTGATTTGAAAGAAATAACTGAAATATTAAATAACAATCCAGATTACACCAGAGAATATTTCTTAGAACATGCTTCAGGAAAAATGGTGGAAGAATGGGTTATGCAACGTTCGCACTTATTAAATTTTCCAGAAATTAAGACTGTTGTAACTAAATCAGATTATACTCTCAAGCCTATTCCTTCTAATTTAACCAAATTTTTAAAAAATAATGAATTAAATAATGCAAATGAGCTAGCAGTTAATAATAAAAAAAAAAATTTTGAACAACTTTTACAGCTAAGTGAAAAAGACTTATTAATGGAACTAATTCGTGATATAGCTCATGAGTTAGATGTTGATTCACTTTCACATAAAATTCTTGTTAATGTTTGCCTACTTACCAACTGTGACAGATCATCTTTATTTCTTGTAAAAGGTCAAGAAAATGCAAAGTACCTTATTTCTCGTTTGTTTGATGTAACCGCACTTTCCACTCTTGAACAATCAATCAAATCTCATGACGAAGCTATCATTATTCCAATAGGAGTTGGTATAGCAGGCCATGTAGCAGAGACTGGTCAAGAAATTAATATTCCAGATGCTTATAAGGTTTTTGATTAAAGTTTTTTTAAAAAAATTTTATATTTACTAAATTTCCATACCTGTCAAATATTTGGATGGGACTAAAGGAATAATTCATGCTTTTATTTTTTTTAATTTGTTTTAATTTAAACTTAATTAATGTTAAACAGCTTTGCTTTTACAAGATATTAAAAAAAAAAGTTCTTTTTGTTCTTTAGAGATCGTTATTTACAAGTTCCCTTCTACTGCTTAAATATAATATGCACATAGTATAACAAAGTGGATATATTAAAATCTGACTCTATTGAATATTTTGGTTTCTGTAATATCTAAGTCTTTGTTTCTTTGTCTATTTTTTAAACTATAAGTTTTGAATCTTTGTTTATTGTAACCATGTTAGCCAAAGATGAATGTCTTATTCCTGATAATGCAGATTTGACTACTTTTGTTGCATGAATATTACTTTTATTATTTACGTTGTTAAGCAAAAAAAAATCTGAAAATTTCGAAGCAAGAAATCCAATAAACTAACTTAAACCATTTCAAATTAAACATAACACATACTATTTTAAAAATCATTTTACTAAGTTAAAATATTATACTGACGATATAGGTCAATTTTATTTTCATTTTGCATAATTCATTTAGCATTAATACCATAACTTGGAGAAGGGTCTTTTTAAAAATCTAACTAGTTAAGTAACTCATCACTTACATTATCACCTGAATAAATTTATCTTTTATATTATAACCTAAATAAATTTATCACTTATATTATCACCTAAATAAATTTATCACTTACATTATCAACACAAAACAGTTAGTTATTAAAAGTTGCCAAAATACTTTTTTATTTAAAAAAAATTATTACTTTTTTAAAACATAATTTTAACATTATTTGAATTTATATTTAGCTGTGCATATTCAATATATAATATTCAGAAAACAGGTAAAGAATAATTGATTTTATTGTTTGGAAACCTAATGATATAAAAAAACAGTGATGGAATGTGTTTAGCAAGTAATGCATGTATCTTAAATTTTTCTAGTTTTTACATATACTTAATCTAAAACTAATTATACATAAAGTAAATTAAATGACTTATAATAAAAGGATAAATTTGTATTTAGTATGTTATAGCATATGCCTTTCCCAATGCAATACTTCTGTAAAACTGTAAAGCATAAGATAAGAAAAAAGAGAAAATCATAACAGTAAATCGAAAAAAAAGTTTTGTAATTATAGTATTTCTTCACTTTCTTTGCTAAAAAAAGATTTTTAATTATAGTACTTCTTTATTTTCTATACTAAGAAATCAGAAAATTTTTTACTTTTTAGCTCTTTCACAATTAGTCAAGCCTAGGTTTCTTTTAAAAGAAAAACAAATCTTATTTACCACTGGTTTATTGTTAAAACTTGTGTGACAGATAAAATCTTATATATTTTTATAATCCTTCCAACAGTAGATAACAGTAGATAATTTTTTACCAGTAGATATAGAAATTGTAGTAGCTTTTGAGACATGTTTGTAGTTCCATGATTTTTTCATAAATGTGCAATATTTCTTTCCAATTTTTAACTTGCTTTGATGACATTTTAATAAATTATAATTTGAATTTCTTTTGTTGTTGTTGTTGTTTTTAGACAACAACTAATATTACTTGATTAAAATATATATTTTTTTTAATGTGTAAGTAATTTATTTTGGAAGTGGTTTCCATTTCTCATTTTTTTAATCTCATGCTTTAATAATAAATCTATTGTTTAACTATTTTATAAAATTTTTGTGCATTCTTTTCAGGATTCAAGATTTAATCCTTCTATTGACAGAGATACTGGTTACAAAACACACAGCATTTTGTGCATGCCTATTAAAAATCAAGACAATAAGGTTTTTACTACATTAAATTTTTATTAAAAATTTTTTTACATTTATTATTTCAACTGTAATTGGAACATCTTAGAAATTCCATGCCTTTTTTTTTTAGGTTGTTGGTGTTGCTCAAATTATTAATAAAAAAGAAAAGAATCCTGTTTTTACTAAAAAAGATGAGGAGGTATTCTTTTTTTTAATCTCGTTTTCAAATATTAAAAACATTATTTTTAATGTTTTTTTATTTAAATTTTAGGTTTTCAAAAATTATTTAACTTTTTGTGGAATTGGTTTGACTAATGCACAATTATTTGATTTATCACTTCAAGAACACAATAGAAATCAGGTAATTTGGTAATGTTAGACTTATAAATTTTAAATTTTTTAAATAAAGAAAGTGATTTGTAATAAAATCAATTTCAAATTTTGGGTGTTGTTGTTGCTAATTTGAATGTTTAAGGGGGCATCAGTTTATCTTTCTTAGGAGTGTGCGCGGTAGTTCCACTACGTCTTTACTAAATCTGCCATAGCTCCTTTTCCTTACACTTGACTTAATGTGCTGAAGTTTATAGCATTTTTGTTTACCCTCCCCCTTTCTTTTTTGGTTATGGAAATCAAACATATAATATAAAGACATGCATAATAATAGCATAATGAAATAAACAGAATTAATAAGAAAACAAAGATCCCAGTTAACCATTCTAACTGGGTCCCGACTGGGGCCCAACTAGGAAAAATGATGGGACCCATATGGGTTTCCCACATGGGTCCCATTGCGATTCTGTCAGTGGGATACATCTGGGTCTCATCTGGGATTAGTCTGGGTTTTTGATGGGAAATCCCATATTGAACCCAGATATTTTTTTCATTTACCATGGGTTTTCTCATTTTTTTATAGTTTGTTTTTCGCATTTTTTGTATCTTGAATCTGCGAAATAATGTGACACTTTTTTGATTAAAAAGTGTCGCATTTTTTATATAAAATTAAAAAGTAAAGTTTTATCTATATTAAATTCGCTGTCAGGGCAATAAAATGTATAAGGCAAATGAATATTTGGTCTGACACAACTTTTACGAATCAATTTGAATTTCATAATATTTTTAAGCAACAAAAAACTAATATTATACAATGATTTGATACAAAACTGTTCTACAATAGTAATATACTGCCACATTAGTTCTTTCATATTGCCACCATAATCGCATGACAAAATTCTGCTTTAAATTTTATCTTTACGCTTTTTTAGTGCTTTCATCAACTTTTAGACTAATTTTATAAATTAAAAAAAAACATTAAAATAATATAATAATTTATAGCATATATATTTACAAAGAATAGATAAAAATATTTATTGATAATATTATTTAGGGCATACCATGCAGTGTGCCATTCCATGACATATCTTGCATATAACTAACAAACACTAGGCAAACAAAAACACACGTACAAATCACAAGCTAACTCACCGATTTTTCTTTTCATTGGCAAATTATTTTCAGACCTTTTAATTATGTCATAAATTGTAGATTTAGCGATTCCCATTTTCTTAAAATGATCCACTGTAAATTTCTTTCCACTGTTTATGTTTTGTTTATAAAAATTTCCAATCATGTTTCTAACATCGTTCTCTTTTAGATGCTCCATGTTTATTTGAATTAATTATTTAAACTCAATTTTGCCACAAAATGAAACTGTTGTTGTTGACCGATTAAATTTAAAAATTTCGAATCCAAAATTCGAAATTTAGAACAATTTGTGTACATTTGATTCATAAAGTTATTTTATTTGTATTTCTCTAATTACTGTGTTATGAAGTTTTTGAATATTTTTATTTTAAGTAAAATTTTAATTTAAATTTTAAGCTGATTTTTAATAAAAGTAATAATACCAGGTTTTAAATTTTAGTATATTAAATATTATGTGATAACACTGGAAGTAGAAAGAAAACCTAAATAAAATTGTTTGTTGTCAAATTTTGAATTCAAAATAAAATTTGAATAGAACAAAATATTTTTATTAAAAAACTACAATTGGTTTACCATTTTACCATTAAAAAACTATATTTCATGAGCTCTCTTTATTTAATCTCTGTTCACACAACAAAACTAGATTAAAATAATCTAATGTAAAATCCAAATAAAAAATCAAACTAATTAGAGTTTGTTAGAAAAGTTGGAAACAGGTAAAACAAAGCTAAAAAATATTATAAGATTGTATAAAAGCTAAAAACAGTTACATGTTTACTTTAATTTTTAGGTGTTACTAAATCTAGCAAAAGGTATATTTGAAGATACAGAACATTTAGATGTTGTTGTTCGTCGTATTATGACTCAAGTTCAAGACATGCTTAAATGTGAAAGATGTACTGTTTACATAATAAACAAAACCAAACTAGAAGAATCAGGTGTAAGACTCTTGCTGTTTCAATTCATTAGATTAGATTTTTTATTCAATAGATTTTTTAATTTTTTGGGTATTAATGTTTTTTCTAAATGATTTGAATCTAGGCTTCAGATCTTTTTATTTCAGTAAATATTTTTAGCATCTTTTTTTTGTTTTTTATATCTCAACATTGTCGATTGCAATATATTGATATTGTAACAACATGTATGTGTATCAAATAAAAATTAAAACATAAATAAAACCTAATCACCACCCACTAATCACCACCCACTAATCACCACCCACTAATCACCACCCACTAATCACCTCCCACTAATCACCACCCACTAGTTAACTTAACTATTAAGTTTTTTTTTTTTTTTTACAATAAATGTTATTTCATTTTTTTACAATAAGTGCCACTTCATTATATCTTGTATATCCTGTTAATAAAAAAAAATTTTTTTTGGTAATAAGAAATATATTTAATTAAAAATTGAGGAGTTTGCTTCAAAAAGATGCACAATATTCATTTAAAGTTTTGAAATATTGAACAATATAAACAAGCTGATAGTTTTGACTAGCTAGAAGCTAGGATCAGGTTCTGTTTGACACAAATGGATATGAAGGTTGTACAAAAGTTAGTTTTGATGACATATCATATGAAAGATTTGACCAAAATGCATTGTTGAGTTTAATGACTTTTTTATTTTCAAACGTTTGTAGTTTTTATAGTTATTATTATTTTTTGAATTGTTAAAAAATCTTTGTGCTTATTTTTAATGTATATTAGTTAAAAATAACATTATATGTATGTGTCACTTAGATTTCTGTGCTATGAATAGACTTTGTTTGTTAAGGTTTGGGTTAAATGATTGAGAGAGGTTTATAGTTACAATTAAGAAAGAAGGACATTTTTTTTTTGAATTCTTCTTTTTATAATAAAAATAGTCAAAATTTTATAATATACAGTAAGGGGGTCAAATAGAAGTCTAAATTAACAAGTAAATCACGAAGTAGAAAAAAGCTATAGACAGTCCTAAACAAAAAATGTGGTGTGTTAAGTATGAAGTGGATCTTTTGAAACTGTAAAACAATGATATGCATGTGTCAAAAATACTCAATTTAGTAATTATTTAATAATTTAGTAATTTAACTGCTCATTGTTGACCAATGATTTCTAAAAAAAGCAGTAACAAAATAAGTTAAACAGTTTAAAATTATAAATGTGAAAGTTTTGATGTTTATGATGATAAATATTTCAATGATGCAATCAAATACTTATAAATCCATTTAGCTGCTTTACTTTTTTTTAATGAGTGTGAATAAAAAACTGGATCTGAGTGTTGCACTAATTTCTGGTTGCACTAATGTCATGGTTGCTTTATGAGTAGCAGTATTTATTAGAAGCTTAGACTCTTCTAAAGCTTATGGTCCAGACAACATACCTGTTATAGTCTTGCAGAAGTGTTCTTCTGAGTTGTTGTCTAATACTTCAAAAAATATTAAACAAGTGCTTATCAGAGTCTTGTTTTCCAGCTTGCTGGAAAGCGGCATCTAATATCTCTATTTTCAAAATCCCTATTTTTAAAAAAGCTGGAGAGCAGAATTTTTAAAAATAATGATTTTAGGATTAACTCTTACTTACCAATCTTTCTTGGAAATCATATATCAAATCCATTGCAAAATTAGCATCTACTAAGGTTACATCTCTTTACCATGCTTTCCACTTTCTTACTTTCTTATTGATTTTATTTTTTATCTTTATGAATCTTTAATCTGTCCTTGTATGGAATACTGTTGTCACAATGGAATGAGTTGTAATGTTGCTTATCTTCCTCTTTTCTAAATACTATATTAGACGCTGCTCTAAAAATTCATTCTTATTTTACTCGCCATTTAATTAAGTCTCATCCTTTTACTGTGAATGTTCCTTGATTCATATCATTTGAAATCTTTGAAGTTGTCTGCTAATCGTTATCATGCTTCTTAAACTTCATCTTTTCTCTTCCAGTAACTTCGAACTCTAATAGTGGTTGTTTGCAGCCCCAAGGAAAAAATAAGCTAGTGGAATCAAAAAAAAAAAAAAGAAATTTTATTGCCAACTAATCACTCTTTCTAGTCAGCTTCAGGTTTTTTTGAGGTTTGATTAAAAGGTTATTGAAAAATAAATGTTCTGTTTTTGGATTGAATAACTTTTCGTACATGGTATTTAATAATATATGATCTGAAAGAGCCACCTAGTACATATATGTTTTGATAAAAATACAGCAATTTTTTTAGAAGCTTGAAGTTCTGTTTTTAAATTGAATAACTTTTCGTACATGGTATTTAATAATATATGATCTGAAAGAACCACCTAGTACATATATGTTTTGATAAAAATATAGCATTTTTTTTAGAAGCTTGAAATTCTGACAGAGATACAGCTTTTTAAAGTTAAATTCAAACTATGCATTTTCAGATGATGTTGTTTAGATCAGGCTTATGGAGCTGAAAGATCTTTTTATGACTTGGCTTTGCCTTCTAGGAAATGTCTGGCTCGGCTCCTGGCTT